AAGGACCTATCTACGTCATCATTTACCCAGAATGCTTTGCGAGTAAATAAAATGGCCCCTTCCATGTAATATATTTTTAAACTTTTAGTTTAAAGATGATAAAAACTAAACAGACTACAGTATTTTTACATCTTTATTATACAGATAAAATCAATGTTTATCAAATAAAGTCTAATATTACAACTAATCATGGATCCCTTTAAAAACAGTGCCATCATTGCCTGACCTGGCCCCAAAACTATCTGCTATGTGGGTTATTTTTACCACATTTTACAAAAATACTAATGGCTGTTGAATAGATGGTGGCCAAAGTGATATTGTCTGCCATTGGAGGGAGAGGCAAAGTTTTTGTTTATCTCTACTGTATACGTTTTGTTGCCTGTAACCTATGACCCAATATACATCTGCAAGTGAGTAATTTCTGAAATCAATTCAGGATGGCGACCACAGCCAACTGACCTCATAAAATGAAAAATAGTGCTATATCACACTCCAGTTTTACAGATTTTGAGCAAACCTTTGGTGTGGTAGTAGCTGAGAGTGAACCTCGGCTCTATAAGCATTATCAACTCTTGCAAGATCTCACCATACAACCTAATGACATTTAATAAGTCTGACCAAAGTAGCTCTAATACAGTATTTTCTCAGCATAAGAATATATTAATTTATTCTTGCTTTGGGCGATATGCAACCTTTCAAAAAATGTTAGGCCTTAAAAGTACATTTTTTTAATTGAACAGAATGATTCATGAATTTGCAATGCATGGTAGATTTGTAATTACTGTAGTATTACGCAATGACAGTGTGATGTATCTCTCTAGGTGGACCTGCAGCAAAACCCGTGGGAGTGCAACTGCGTGGCAGCTCCACTGAAGCGTTGGCTCGAGGGGCTCAGCGCGGTGGTTGTGGTGGGAGAGGTGGTCTGTCACTCCCCGGAAAAGACCAAGGGTGTAGACCTGCGCTCCCTCTCCATGGAGCTGCTCTGCCCCGAGCTGGAGCCCCAGGAGGACCAGGAGCAGGAGGGGCAGACAGCAACCTCTCCAGCTGCAGATGGAGGCGTGTCGGTTGGCTACCCCAGCTCAGGGCTGGGACCTCTCGTCCCTCCAGGGATGGATTCCATCCCTCTGTCGGTGTTGGTGCTCAGCCTGCTGGTGTTGTTCGTCTCCGCGTTCTTTGCGGCAGCGGCACTAATCGCCTACGCCCTGAGGAGGAGGGACAAGCTGCCGTTTCGTCGTCAGGGAGAGGTGGACTTGGCCGGCATCCAGATGGAGTGCGGGATCTTCACCGAGCAGACGCACCATCACCACCACAGCCTCCCGGAGAAGCCCCCTCTACCTCTGCCCGAGCACAACCACGTCTACGACACTATCTTGCCCCCGGAGGCAGCGGCCAAAGGTGTCGACCCTGCTGCAGCCTCACACATGTGTAGCAACTCCATCTACAAGGACGAGCGAGACGCGGCGGTGAAGCAGCGACCGTCGCCGCTGCAGCAACAGACGTTCGCAGCTCCGAAGGAGGGCCACGGGGGGTACTGTTCTGCGTCAGAGAAAGGGAGGGAGTGGGCCCTGGAGGTGTCCTCGTCACCCATCAACACCGTAACGGGAGCAATGGGACCTCTCGCCGGCCTCCACGGGAACGGCATCCTGTGCCCCACGGTCATCGACAGCCAGGGCCCCACTCCTAAGGTGGAGCTGGTGGACTGCCTCTTCAGACTCTCCACCCCGGAGTTCAGAGAGCTCTCAGACAGGTACGCGAGGCCCCCGCCCTGCTATCCTCTCACCCAAGACTCCAAACAGGAAGCGAGACCCGACCCAACGCTTGTGGTCACCACGGCGGGCGTCAGTCACGACGGGCCGAACGAGCCGGGGCCTGGAGAGCAGAGACCCAGACTGAAAACAACGCCAGACTACATGGAGGTTTTGGACCGCTCTTACCAGTTTTAACACTCCTCCACCTCCCTCTTCTCCTCCTCTTTCTGCTCCCTTTCCTCTCTTGTCTCCTCATCACCTCCCTCTCTGGTGATGAATCACCTGGTAACAATGACTCCTGTACAGAGGTTGGCTTTGAAAGGAGCCTGTGGGGGAGTGGGACCGCACTACACCATGTTTATTCTCGGAGCTGAGGTCAGGTTTTTGTATTTCCTCCACTACTGGCATATGGGTTTGGTATTTGGCAAGGATTAGCCGATCCAAGATTCTCGCCTGGAGGTAAAACTTCAGCTGCAGTTACCATCATATTTTAGTTTCCCTCCAGAGTCCTGAAAGCACGGAGGGCTCCGTTTTTCTACTAAGCATCACAATTAGCAGGACGGAGCGCGATGGTTGTGGGCGTTCACGTTCATATCACCGCTCTCAAAGGGAAAGTGTAAAACACCAGCTCGTAACATCAAACACAGAGCTGGAAACTCGGACGGCCGGAAGGTGCGGAGCAAAGCTGGGGCGCTCACAGAAGACGGGGAAACGACAGAGACAAAACAAGAAGGGAAATAACTGAAAATAGCCAAGTGCCTTAGCAACGAACAGCCAGCAGTGTGGTCAATGCTTATTTTTCTATAAATACAGATCTATTTATCTAAACAAAGAGGTTTGGCTACCAATGGATGGGACGCAGGTGGATGACTGAGACTAAAAAAAAACAATCAAAACCTAAAGAATTGCATTCCCTTGGATGAGCCAAAAATAATAATATATCTGGTCAGTGTTGGAGTTGTTTGTATGCGGTTCTGTTAATTTCCCATCATTTCATCTTTCATTTTCTTACCCCCCAGTGATTTCTTTACAGAGCTACGATGAGGGGATTTATCTGGGGAATAATCTGTCGCTGAGTTGAAATTGTAAGATTCAATTTCAAAGGAAAGAATTTTGGAAATTACCACCACTCTTTATTTTTTTTGGGGGGAGGGGGGGGGCAACACAAAAAAACGAACGGAGGCCGAATTACACGAAAGACATTGTGGCGACGGATGCGTTTTGGATTTCTTTAGACTCAACTGGGCCACGAAGACCTCTGCTTCATGTTTCCTTTCATTCCACAAAAGGCACATATTGATTTGGAAATGTTTCTCAAAGGAAAGCTAAGTGGCAAATTAGAAAATAAAGACAAACCAGGTGGACGTAACATTTTTTTGTTCATACAAGGAAAAAAAACACTTCTATCAACTACTGATTAATATCTTTTACGGAGGTACTTTTTATGCTTTCATCTCCTACCAATCGTAGAGGCAGTTGTGAATATATTTATTCTTAGTTTTTTTTTTCTTTTTGCGTGCTGAAGCTCTCCTGCAAGGGATCATGTTACATTAATGTATAGGATGATTCTGCATCTGGTTCAGCCTTCTTACCGTCAACCCACGAAATACAATAAAGGGTGCTACATTAAAAAAACAACCTACTTGAGCTTGCAGGTATTGTGTGACGGCTTCACTCACACACACACACACACACACACACACACACACACACACACACACACCCCTATAAATGCACACTCACTCTCCTCGTCTTTGTTGCGGTAATGATGCATGAATGAAACGGCTCGAGGTGTGCTAAGCCTGTCAGTTTGTCCGTGCGGCGTGTTCGAGAGATCAGATGAAAGTTGAGCGCCTGCAGCCCTCCTCACACACACACACACACACACACACACACACACACACAC